TTGAAACTTGAACAATTTCAGGATATGGACGGATATCTCACAAAAATTATGGATATCGCTCAACAACTCCAAGACATGAATGCTCCTCTCGATGATGATTTTGTCGCAGTCATAATGCTTAGTGGACTCCCAAAGGATTTCGACCCACTCATAATGACACTAGAAAATGCAAACTTAAATCTATCTAGTGATCTCGTTAAAAATAAATTGCTACAAGAATCACAGAGACGAGATGGTACAACAAGCTCCGAGTGCCCTGAGGAGAAAGTTCTGGCAATTTCAAAACGTCCTATATGCTACAAATGTAAGAAGGTTGGTCACTATGCCAAGGACTGCCGTAAGAAAATATCAGGTAAAGATAAGCAACCAAAGTCGAGCAGCAGCTCTGGTGCAGCCAAGAGTGCAATAATGCTGTCGGTCCTATCAGCAGATGTGAAGTTTGAGGGTTGGTATGTCGATTCTGGTGCGTCTTGTCACATGTGCAACAATCGGCAAATTTTGAAAAATTACGTCGAGGACAATAGTTTATATGTGACAGTAGCGAACGGAGATAAAATAAATAGTGTCGGTCGAGGTGATACAGATATTTTAGTTAAGGATGGTATAAAAACTCTATGTGATGTGTTTTATATTCCTAACTTGTCATGTAATTTAATGTCTGTCAATGTTTTGACACAGCGAGAATATCGTGTAATTTTTTAATTTGATTTATGTAAAATATATAAAAATAATATATTAGCAGCGATTGCAAAGCGGGGTAATTCTGGTTTATATAAATTACAAACTGGGTCTGCATTTGTAAATTCCGTTGATCGCGTAAAAAGTACAGTCATGTCTGTGAGTAAATCTTCAAATATTAAAAATGAAGTTCAATCTCGCGTAAACCAAGCAAGTCAAGGTATCTGGCATCGACGTTTGGGACATTTAAATAGTCGCAGCATGAGTTTACTCAAGAATGGTATGGCAACTGGCATTGACTATAATGTATCGTCATATGAACAATGCATCTCCTGTATAGAAGGTAAGGCTACTAAACTACTTTTTCCTAAGAAATCGTTTACACGAGCTAATGTTGTGTTGGGTTTAGTACACACGGATCTATATGGTCCTATGCAGGTGAACTCTTTTGGTGGTGCAAAATATTTATTAACTTTTATTGATGACTTTTCTAGAAAAACTTTTTGTTTTTGTATTGATTCTAAAGACAAAGTTTTTGAGTGTTTTATGAAATTTAAAGCTCAGGTACAAAATGAAACAAATAAAAAGATTAAAATATTGAGAAGCGATAATGGAGGCGAGTACATGAATACTCGATTTAAACGATATTTGAGTGAGTGTGGTATTAAACACCAAACTACAGTCCCTTACTGTCCACAGCAGAATGGAGTCGCAGAACGCGCGAACCGAACTATTATAGAGGCGGTGCGCTGTATGTTACTCGAAGCCGGTCTTGAACAAAAATTCTGGGCTGAAGCAGTATGTACTGCTGTGTATGTTAAAAATCGTTCTCCTACAAAGGCCGTCAGAGGTTTTACTCCACAAGAACGTTACTCTGGACAAAAGGTAAATCTGTCTAACTTAAGAGTCTTTGGATGTGTAGCTTACTCAGTACAAAATAATAGAAAGAAACTTGATCCGAAATGCAAAAGTACATTTTTGTTGGCTATTGTGAGAACACTAAGGGGTATAGGCTTGTGGATCCTATATGTCAAAAGCTGACTGTTTCTAGAAATGTAACATTTTTAGAAAATATGTTTCTCAAGGATTTAAATGTAACTTCATCAAATTTGAACATAAATCCTGTTTCTCCATCAGTATCCTTTGATATTTCAAATAATGATAACAATGTAGATCAAATTTCTAATACTTCTGAAAGTAATGAAATTAGTGAACCTTCAACTAGTGAATCCGTCGAAGACCGTTCATTAGATGAAACCTATGTACCTGATATGTCCTTTGAATCTGATGATTCTAGAGCTAGAAGAGAATCCTATGAAGCGGTTGAGCCTAAAACTGTTAAGGAAGCATTAAGCAGTTCTGAAGCAGAGCAATGGCGTATTGCAATGAATGATGAGTATCAATCCTTTATTGACAACCAATGCTTTACTGTAACTGATTTACCGAAAGGAGTGAAACCAATAAAAACTAAGTGGATTTTCAAGAAGAAAAGAGGTTTGAATGGAGAGATAATACAGTATAAAGCACGATTAGTTGCAAAAGGGTTTACACAGAAGTACGGAGTAGACTACTTTGAAACATATTCACCAGTCGTGAGATATGAAACATTAAGAATGCTGTTAGCTCTATCTGCAGAATACGATATGGATATTGAGCACATGGATGTAAAAACTGCATTTCTAAATGGTGATTTGAAAGAAACTATATACATGGAAATACCTGAAGGTTTTCATGAAGGTAAAGGTGAAAATAAAGTATATCGTCTACGAAAGGCTGTATATGGATTAAAGCAAGCACCGAAATCATGGAATGAGAAAATAAACAATGTTCTAGTAAATAAATTAAAGTTCAAGAGATTATTTTCCGAGCCATGTGTTTATGTAAAGAAAAATGATGATAAGCTGGTGATAATTGCTCTATATGTAGATGATGTGATACTTATGAGTAACTGTAAAGAAGAGAAAAATAAAACTAAAAGTATGATAATGAAAGAATTCGTCATGAAAGATCTTGGTCCAGTAGAAAAAGTATTAGGATTAAGAATAAAGAAAGTGAATGGCACGATTACATTAAATCAAAGTGCGTATATAGAAAAGATTTTAGAAAAATTTAATATGCAGAACTGTAAGCCAGCGAAAACTCCAATGCAATGTGAGAAACTACTTAAGTCAGAAAAGAAGGATGACAACTTGGAGTATCGTGAGTTAATTGGCTGTCTTATGTATATAGCTGTATGTTCGCGTCCCGATATTTGTCACGCAGTAAGTGTATTAAGTCAATTTAATAACTGTTTTTCTGAGATACACTGGAGAGCAGCTAAACGCGTATTACGCTATCTTAAGGGTACAATAGATTACTGTATTACTTATGGAAAAACTGGTTTGACTGTGACGGGATTTGCGGATGCAGACTGGGGATCAAATCATATAGATCGTAGGTCGTATACAGGCTATGTTTTCAAAATTGGGGAATCTATTACTTGTTGGGAAAGTAGAAAACAGCGGACTGTCGCTTTATCTAGTACCGAGGCGGAGTATATGTCAGTCTCAGATGCTTGTAAAGAGGCAATGTTCATTAAAACTTTTCTCAATGAATGTTTAATATCAAGTCAAATTAATAATCTAATTATATTTAATGATAATCAGTCTACAATAAAACTAACTGAAAATAGTATGTTCCATGCTAGGACTAAGCATATAGACATGCGTCATCATTTCGTCCGGGAGGCGGTAGGCAATGGTCATATAAAAATTAATTTCTTGCCAACGGACCAAATGATTGCAGATCTTTTAACTAAGCCTCTCTGTATAGTTAAACATGAGAAATTTGTTAAGGACTTAGGGTTGTCCAAATAATAGTATATGTTTCGTATATAAGATTAAGGGGCGGTATTGAGGTTTATAATCTAATATACCGAAAAAGAAATAAATGTCAGTTACTTAGTAACGGCTGTTTAAACAGAATACAATTTTATGTTTTACACTGCATATGTTGTTTCTCTAATACTAAGAACCTAAAATTAAAAATATCTTTTTAAATTGGGCGTATGTGATTATTTTTACACTATCAGACAATGTATTGTATAATTTTATGTAGGTATCTCTAATAGCAATAGTCAAGGAGGCTCCACATATATCTATTTTACTATTTATATTCATATTTATTATACTTGTATTGTAAATTGTATAACAGACAACGTACTTTATAGTATTTAGTAACAAAAACAGGGCCCCTCCGGGATTTGAACCCGGGACCTCCTGCACCCAAAGCAGGAATCATACCCCTAGACCAAGAGGCCGCGTGAAATGCATTCTCAAATTGTATATCTCTTACTTAACGCAAATAATAAAATAAATATACAAATATAACTGTTATATTATATGAAATAATCAAAATAACTATCAACTATCGACATTATAATAATGGCACCACTTATTGTGAAAGTTAAATAATTATACTGTAATAAACACAATGTGACGACAAAGGGCGAGCTACCGTCATCTCTTGAATTAGTTATAGTTCGGTATCGCTGTTTCCATTACCAAATAGATAGTCAATCATAAATTCTGGCTTAAATCCAGGTAATCATAAATTCTGGCTTAAAACCACTAGAACAGTGTCCCACAAACTTTTTTTGCTTATTTAAACCCCAAGTTTTATTTTTGTCATACAAAAGTAGGCCATTTAGTTCTGCAAAGCGGATCTGTCTATCTCTGTACCAAAATTCCTCGACTTCTATTCATCCACTGCACCGTGAAAATAACAGAGTTACTTTGGAAAAAGTAATAAAACTAATTTTACCTACTATTTTTCCTATAATAATTACATATATGTATATATATTCTAGTCTTTCATTATATATACTTATATTTTATGTTAATAACATAAAAAATAAACAATAACATACAATTTGAACAAATTATTATATACAGAATGTTAAGTTTTGTTCATCTCTCTGTCTCTGTCCCTATGTTTGTTCGAAAACAAACACATAATATACTTTACAGAATTTATAATAATCATTTAAAATAAATAAAATGTAATCGATGAAAAATTATTCCTTACAGAATATTTTAAAGAGACATCTCTTACAATTTTAAAACTATAGTTACAGCAGTATGTTATGTTATAAAGATATATGTGTAGATGTCGCTTTAGCGGTTGCTCTTTCTGCTTTCTTATTTGTCAACACAACCAAAAGATGTCGCCACCACTGACAAACAGCTGTTATGCTTTTCATTCGTCAACAATTTCATTCAATTGATCCGTTCAGTCAGATAGAAAAGAAATCAGTCAGTCAGTCTCAGTCAGTCATACACTCTGATAATTTGATGTTCTCTTTCATGCGTTGTGTTGTTTGTACTCAAGAATAATATAATAAAACAAAAATTAAGTGTCAATTTTAAAAAAAGTGCTGAATTTTTTTGTATACCATATACGCGTGTTCTTATGAGAGTAATTTGAAAGCGTGTTAAAATCTTGTGTGTTCAGCTGATCCCTTTCACAAAACAAAGGATAAACGGGACTTGGTTGTTTTCTCTGCGCATTTCACCAAAAGCCTGCCAACTTATATTTATATACAACTGAATGTAAGTGAACTACGTTTTATTGCTAATGATAAACATTTATTTTAAAATACACAATCATGTAAAATTTACTGTTACGTATCGATTTACTTTCAAATGTCCTTAGCATTTATCAAAGAAAAGAGACCCAAAGATCGAGGCGAAAATATTTCTGTAATACCGATTTATGTTGTGTAAAGTATTTAGTTTTATATTTAATGACTAAATACGTATATACGTACCTACTTATGTAAAAGATTACATTGAAGTAGTGGTAATATAGCAATTATATTTTAATTACTCTTTAATATTCTAATGTTTGTAAACATTTACTAATAACTATCCTATAATTATGTATTTAAGTATTGTATAGAGAAATTAAAAAGGGAGTAACAATAATACCTACCAAAAAATAAGTAGTTACCACTACTACATATCTACTGTGAAACAGCTGTGAATACATTGTTATTGAATTTCATTTAAACATACATATTCATGATAGGTTCATACTTAATTCATTATGGTCACTGTTTAGAGTTTATCTGATAGTAAATAATTTGATTACTTTAGAAACTTGAATTTAATTGTACAAAATATATTTTCATCTATTTCATAGACCAAACTTTAAAACTCAAACATAAGTCATCAACATTATATTAAATTCAACAGAATAATATAACAATATTATATAAACTTTATGTAATTATGTATAAAATAATATTATATGATACTTAATTATATTGTACTGTAGCACTAGATATGGAAGTCAGGTATGATATATAGGTTGATGGTCTCTTGCCCTTTTGTTGATAATAACACTAAACTTGTGTGTACATATGCTGATGCAGAATATCACCAATATCTGGGTACAATATGTGCAGTTTTTATACTTTGTAATTTATAATATTTATTATTTATATCACAATTGAGATATATATCCTATATATTAATATTTTAGCAAACACCAAACATATTTTTTACTGACTACCACCCTTGTCATGTACATAAGGTTACCTATATCATATAAATGCACCTAATTACACAGCATTCATTTTTTAATAATTATTTAAAATATTATGTAGAATACATGTTAATGGCCTGTATAAAAGATTATATTTGTTTATATACCTGTTAAAAGATAATTTATTTTTTAGTTTAGCAGGTGTTAAAGGCAAATGCTTACATATAAATATTGCCATTGATGATTGATGTGAATGATGATTTATTCATTCAAACAATAATAGATATTTTACCATGGCTCATGAGTATCCATAATTTCACATAATGTAATTAATTTAGTCTACTGCTATAGGTCAGGCATAATTGGTCTGTTTGAAAGTCTTGTTTAAAAGGTTGATATCATATGTTAGGTACTAAAATTATTGCTTCTCTTTATATGTTATATAGTTATGAATAATAAAACTAATATATAATGTCATAGGTTTAGAAGTTGACCTTCAAAAAACCAGTCGGGCGTCAATAATGATTACAGAACTGTAACAACCGAAGTATGTTTTGCTTTGATTTTACATAGTCCCTATATTTTATCATCCATGATAACAATAACACATTTAATCATACTGACTACAATGTGTTATATTATGTTATTGTTATCTTAACATAACTTGTAATAGACTGCAAATAAAACTATTTAAAAATGACTAAAAAAAATTTTCTACTGAAAAGAAGAATACTAAGCTTAAAGAGATCTAGTGAATGGAAGAAAGTACATACTCGTAACTTATCACAGAAAAAATTAGGTATGTAAACTAATTATCTTCTCCTTTTCAAAGTCACAAGATTCAAAAGCTATCTATGATTAACCTTTAATCAAAAATTATAGCAGAGCTTGTGTTATGGCATCCTCTGATTCAAATACATGGATACATTTTTTGTAAACATACATAATATACATAGAAGCTTTATTAATGTTTTCATATAATTAATTAGTTAATACATATATTAATATAATTAAATAAATTTAGTAGTTCATTGTTCGAAATTTCCCAGCCTCAGACAATTCTATCTAATTAACTCAATAACACTGTAATGACCAACTCTACTAGCTCTATAAGTATATTAATTACGACACAATAAAATAATATGAATGATAAATATTTTAATTTATTAATATACATGTCAGAAGTTGCTCCGTTTTGCACTCTCAAATGTGATTTCCAGATCAAAAACATCGTGACAAATTCCTGGTGAATTTGCCATGATGGGCCAGCTAACCTGACTTCATGCTTATCTTGTCATCCTCCACAGGTGAAACAACAACCCCTAGTGATGCCCTCAGCCTAAAATCAGAGTTTGTTTTCAGCCGCTCCGTATGTATCAAGTGGCCTCTGTACTCGCCCTCATTTTCGTCCAGTAAAGCTATAGTGTAAAGGCCAGCTGCGGCCAACAGCATTAGAATAATAAAAATACCTTACTTTACCACTTGACATGTGCTTACTATAGGGAAGTAGGGTCACTAGTCTCAATGGAGACTAGGTAGGGAAGAGTATTGTTAGTAATGACTAACAATACTCTTCCCTACCAAAGAACGATAAAACATCATACGATTTGATAGGATTGTCCTCTTTTATTAAAATAGAATCTTTGTGTTCAATACGGGCTTATCTAATCTAATAATATACAGTACAGATTGTTTGTTCCATTTACTTATGGATATTAGTGATGTCAAACTTATAACCGTTATAGAAATGGAACAAACAATCTGTGCTGTCACATTGTTTGTTAGTTTCTAGACTTTCTGTTACTTTTGTGCTTATGTAATAAAAATCCGAGGTAAAAATATACAACATATATATCGTATATTTTTAATCCTTCCTAATATTATAAATGCGAAGGTAAGTGTGCCTGTCTCGCTTTCATGCCATAACTACTGAACCGATTTAATGAAATTTGGTACACAGATAGTCCAGACCCTAAGAAAGGACATAGGCTACATTTAAATGGAAATTAAATTTTGAAGCTAGAACTTTTTTCTTTGCCTGTTTGTGTTAGATTATAACATTTATTCTTCATTTAGTCAAAGTCACTATTCCACGCGGACGAAGTCACGAGCACAGCTAGTTAACTATATTTTGTTCTTAGCTCGGTACCAACTTGTTTTTTGTTACATAAACAATATGTTGCTAGCACAGAATGTTTGTTACATTTCTTTAACGGTGATGTCTATAAGTTTGACATCAATATACCTCATATATAACATTCACCTTCACATAATTCGCACGCTATGCAATGTATGCGAATTTTCATGCATAGATTTTTCAATAGATTCAGTATGATTATAAACAACCGTATTGCTATTTGCATCAGCGACTCCGCAGAGAAGCGTGTAGCTACTGGGTCAGTGTGTATTTCCGCCTAACGCCTAACCTAATGGTATTGGTCACCAGCCCAGAAATGCACACTACTTGCCAACTATCCAATCAAAGATTATATTCCATAACGCGACCATTCGTTTTTTTAAGTTCCTAACTTTGCATTATGTGAATGAAGTTGATTGGGGTAAGTTTGGTGACGAATTTATTTTAAACATGTTCAGATCTGGATATTAATACGTGTTATCTTTAATCTTATGATATTCTTGATGGCATATCATAAATTTTTAACAAGTTTCTAATAACACATGCCAAGTGATGGTGATGGTGAGATTGCCAGCAATTGGTACGATTGTTTTCTACTTATAACTACTTATTAATTATTGTTTTTAGGTATAGATATTATAACTACAGTATCCGTCAACTTAACTTTCTTATCAGTAAAAAAAAAATACAATGTCTGCAATAATTATGTTACTTAGCGTTGCAAGCTTATCGTATTATGGTAAAATATTTTTTTATGGCATACAAACGTCCCGCATGATTAAAAAATTATGAAAAATAGCTCCAGTTACATCCCGTCGTCATTGACACGCGATGCCCAAATTTGTTTTTCTGGAGAACTATATATAGCATTATGCATTTGTACCCTGTAATTTCACTGTCATATCCAACCCTTCAAACAAACTCAGCTATGATATTAGAAATATTAAGAAATTAAGAATTTTAATAGTCTAAGACTTATAACTATATTGGTCGTACTCTGATTACACCAGCTTTCATTTGCTTATTTGAATTGTTTCACACAATAAATTTTATTATTTCCGTCCCTTTTATTATAGCCTAGCGATGTGATATGGATTAGTCGATATGGTAAGTACGACCCAGTTTCTAGGTCTGAACCTGGCATACTAATGCCTTTGTTAGCTGATTAATATTAATGATTGATTAAGGACCTGTGCTATGTCTGTGCTTTAGTGTGCCAATAGAAAATAGGTATGTAAACTTATATATATAATATTATAACTTGATGCAATTGTATAATTAAATTTAAAATATCTATGGGCTTATGTGCAAAAAAATATTCTACAATATGTCATACCGCAGCACAATACTATTTTAAACGATCAGACAGAACGATTGCTGGTTTTGATTAAAAAAAATTAAAACATTCCAGAGTTCTGGACTCCAACACGTGTCGGTGCATAGTTGGTGCAAATTTAAACAACTTTTTTGCGACTTTAACCACATTGGAAACATTAATCTATTTATTGAGCAACAACGTTTATTAACCAATGAACCATAAGGAGATGCAGCGATCTATGTTTATTACACATATGGATAGTAACGTATATTAAATATAATAGTAAAGATAAAAAAGCATAGTCACGGATTTGATAAAAACGTATGTTCTACGCAAACAGATATAATTTTACATTACTTGCATTGCTATTTTTTACCTATCTTGGGCAAAACGGAAACTATCATTTCATTACGATACATAGATGTAAAAGCACGTGCACATTATCAGCTGTTTACTGTACATCATTGATCAGCTTTGTTTGTTTTGCACACAAGGCGTTAATCATGACCTACATGTTCAGTTAATTCGTGTTAATTCATTTATTCACTTTAGCCACTACATCAAGATTCATGATGATGATGTCGTCAACGTGTAATAACAAGGACATA